GGAGGGGGGGGCCCGGCGGGAGACCCCGGCCGGGCGTCCCTTTATTTTAATTGCGAAATCAAGCGAAAGGCAGTGCTGGGTTACTGCTTCGTTAGTGTTTGTGACTCCAGCTCTCTCTGGGTGTTGCCGTTTCACCGCGAACGGCTGCGGTGAGGCGGGCGCTGAGCGCTGCCCTCTGGAAGCCCAACGGCCCGCGGCCAGCCCCAGCCTGGCTTCTCCCAAAGCTCTTTAACGGGCGGCTTCTAAGTCTCACCCTAGTCCCAGCCCAACCGGGTCATGCTCTTAAGGTGGTGGTTTGAGCCCTCGGCACGTCATAAGGGCAGCCCTGATTTTAATTGATCTTAATGGGTACTTGCTCCAGCGAATTGTGGTGCCTCGGGTCCTTAGCTAACTGGAGTGTCGCAAAGGAAGTGTCATGTTTTGCTTCCCTACCCTTTAATTCACTGCGTGGGCCCGAAAGTTTGTGCTTTCTCTCTCAACCGCCGCTTCCATCTCCTGCAGCAACTGACAAAATTGCTGTAGGTCTGTCCACTGTCCTCCTGTCTCCAACGATGCCTCATGTTAGATGGGACTTAGGACCGTTCAGTTACAGTAGAAAATAGCGATGCTGACTTTGACGAGGTGGCAAAAAAATAATTCTAAAAATTCAGAAAATATTCAAAATACTTGATATCTAAGGTACTTTAGGTATAATGCTTTCATATAATTTCTATAAATTTATAATAAATTCCAAATCTAGAAATGTATAAATCTCGGATAGAGTGCTTCTCTATTGCTGACTGTAGTGGTAAGCAGGCCACTACACAACCCTGCTTTCCACAGGCAGGCATACCAAGGTAACCAGTTTATAAGAATTCATGTACCTGCATGCACATGCAGAAATACAGAAACATAAATGTATTTTTTTATATGTGTAAGATGCCACTGTACCCTTCTAAAATAACAATTTAAGCCTCAACTTTTAAGGCACTACTTCTACAAAGAGGAAGGTAGGCACTTCAGGTTCCAGTGCCAGCAGTGTAATTAATGCACCTTTCTGCATCATTTAGCGGTTAGGTGCTAGCTACAGAGTGTTTATAAAGGTGCTTTCAATAATCACCTTCCCAGGCAGTGGCCAAAAAAAAAAAAAAAAAAAAAAAAAAAAAAAAGGAAATAAGACTATGAATAAGTTTGGTTGAGTCAGAAAATAGGTTCAGCATGAAGCTGAATGTTTCTGTTTTGTTTATGTTATTGTTTTCATTTTAGGTTTTGTACATATCATTGTATCCTCCCTTTCCAAATGAAATTAAGAGAAAGGGAGCACTTGAAAGGCACAATTTATCTAACCCATTTAAGACTTGTACTTTAGCATTAGATGTATCACCCAAGATCAGGAACCTAGAAGTTT